ACATCCTTAATAAGAATTTACTTATATGATATACAATTAAGTTCATTTAACGTTCGATTCAATATTCGTCAAACTAGCTTCAGTTCTTAATCAATTATTTTCATCGAAGCAACGATGGAAACAAATGGAATTGTTCTTTTTTGCTGATGGCCATTCAATGTATAACGAGATCAAGATATCAAAACGGATAAATGCAATTATTGGTTTACTGTCAAGCTTATCGCGTATCAAATAAAAGTTGCCAAAACGATTGCAACAGTTGTGTCGCTGATTTTTTATTGCAATCGATAAACTCAGTCGTGTTTGCCATTAACCTACGCAGCGAGCAGTTTGCTCTATTTAACCCTTATCCACTCGTATTTTTCTACTTCTATTTATATATTATACATTGCATTGAATTATTATATAAAAAGATCGAATAAAAAATATATTCATAAGTATCTCAAATTCCTGTTCATACGCAAAATCATTTAAGTATATTCGCTTTACGGAATTCCCTCGAGGCAAGACGTGAAATTGATACAAGAGACGGATTAGGGTTAATTATCTAGCAAAGCATAAGCGTAATGATTTTTCTCATCACTCACCGCTTTCACCGACTCGTAGTCACCCTTCCTGAGCAGGTCCATCAGCCTCTGCCTCTCCATCTCCTCCTTGGTCACGTAAACCTTGTTTTCTTTAAACCCGCGCACGTTCTCGTAATTGTCGCACAGAACATTGTGAAAACCCATCGACCTCTGTCCAACGTGTTCGATGATCCTGAGAAACGTGTCACCGTGTTCCACGTCCTTGGGCAGGTCCTGTTTGAATTGAAGATTTTTCACTAACACTTCGTTCACCACTTCGACCTCCTTTTTTTCGTTTTTGTCCGATTTCTTGCTAACATCCTTCGAATCCTGCGCGTCAGGCCTGTTCGTGTCCTCGGCCTTGAACATGGCTTGGCTTTCACTCTCCAGCTCGTCCACCGGGATGGTAGCCGTCGATAGATTGCTGTTCTCCCGCGTGTGACACATTTGGTTCCTGTCCATCAAATTGTTTCCAGATTCGTACGGGGTCTCGTAATCCTCTAGGATCATAGTCTGCTGTTTCTCCTCCTGCTCTTCCGGTTGCGATTGCTGATTCGTTTTAACAGCCTGGGGCGAGTTCGAATGAAACGTGAGGAACGTCCTAGCAGGTTCGTTCTGTTGTTTCTTATCCACCGGACTGGGTCTACCGTTCTGCTGGATCCTGAGGCACTGACTCAATCCGATCTCCGGGTACCTGCGAACGGACGCCTCGCTCCTCTGATCGTCTTCCTCGATAGTCTCCAGCTGCTCGTACCGCATCTCGATCCGCTGTTGTTCGTAAACCTTCGCGTTTTTCTCCTCGTTCGGCTCCTCCTCGAGCTTCACCGGTTCTTTGGCAGGCGAGCTGCGATCTACCTCGCCGTAAGCGGAAACCTGCAAAGAAGGTCGCAGAATCGATTGCAGGTCATCCACGTGAATCACCTGAGGCTGCAAGCTACGCTCGTATATCTTCTCCACGTGATTCGGTGACGAGTAGTGCGATCTGCTTGGAGATTTTTCCAACGAACTGTTACTCGACGATCTGCACTTGTTTTGTTCGTTCAATTGTTGCAAGGTCGCGTACGCGCGAGCGTTCGGCTTGAACGTGGATTGACCGATGGACGAACTCTTTTCTTGATGTTCTTTCCTAGGTAGAACCGGCGGTTTTCTAATCTCGGACTCGAAGCCTTGAAGGTTCTTCGGTCTCGATTCTTGTTGGCCTTGAATACTCTTGACACGCGCCCCGTACACAGCTTCCTGATTCATTTTGTTTTCTCTCTTCTCCTTGTACCTGGACTCCTCGATCCTCGGGATACAATCTCGGCTCCTCGAGGAGGCCTCCGTCGATTTACGACCGACATCGGTTGCTTTATCACCGGCTCGCGGTGAATCGTTCGTGAGAGCCGACCGCCTACTTTCTCCGTCCTTATTTGGCGAGATCGGCTCGCCTTGGTCACCAAAGTTGCTCGTCGGGCCCTTCGCTGCGGCCCCTCTCGCCCTCTGACTCGCCTCCTCCTTAACGAGCGCTCTCGTCGAGCTCGGATCGTGATTCTGCGAACGCTTGAACGATGCTCTCCTGCAGGGTATAACGCTGGTAACACCAGTAGCTCCAGATATCCTGGCATCGGACTCGTTTCTACTCTTTACCAAACTCGTCAATCTGCTGACGGATCGGTTCTCGGTACTCGCAACATTCTCTTGATTCGCTTCGCTGTTAGATTCTAATCGTCTCGATTTGAAGCTAGAGCTCAGTGGTCCCCTTTGAGGAATTCTTGACCCAGTCGAAGGACTCATGTCCCTCGACTTGACGATGTTGTTCGACGCGCTGAAACCGTAGTCCTTGCCCCTGCTTTTCAACGCCAGGTATTCCTTGTACGTACCTCTGCTCGTATTGACGCCAACGTTCATTTTGTTCACTTTACGTTCCGGCTTCCTGTCGCCACGACTCAGGTCGTCGTAGCTCGACGAAGTTCCATTCAATTTATCTCTTCCTTCGTCTATCGATCTCGATCGTAAGTCCTGACGAAACTTCCTCTGACTCTTCTGATCCGCACTGCTGTTCGATCTAGTCAATGGTTTCTCACGTGGGAAATTTTGACTCTGAGTTTGGTTCAACCATTCGTCCACCCTTTTTTGAACTTCACCCTTGCGGAGTAAGACTTCTGGTACTCTGGTCCGACTGTCCACGGTCATAGGAATCGAATTCTCCTCCTGTCTGATAGATTCTTTCGGCCTCTCGTGGGATCGTTGCCTCACCTGAGTCTGCTGGTTCACTTTTAAAACTGGTTGTTGCTTCTCAACCGAACACTTGGTCCTCGTCACTCTCAGCTTCTCTTGCTTCCTCTGCTGATCCATCATCACTGCTTCGTAATTAGACACATCGATGCTTCCCACGTCGCTCAGATCCGACGATCTTCTACAATCCAAATCCTCGTATTCGTCCAATATATTGTTCACAGATTGAGTATCAATGGAGCTAATACTCTTCGATTTAATTCTCGCCACGCTCTCATCGCTGCTCGAATAACCGTGATTCTGTCTTTCCCGACTCCCTTGCCGACGTTTCGGCTTTTGGTACCTCGACACTACGTTCTCGTACCTTTGCAGGCAACTCTCTGCGCCAGGTTCCACTGTTTCACTCTTGTTTCTCTTTAAACCGGGCTGTCTCAATTGTCTTTGCGGCTGATTGAACATCGCGCTCTTTTGAAGCACGTTCCCCTCGATTTTCGTTTGCGCCGAGCGAAAGGTAACGTAATTCCTCGAGCTTAAGTTAGGCGAGAAGGCTTCCTTCGTCAGCTCTCTCCGCGTGACGCTCGGTCGTGCCTGGCGATGGTCAACGCCCGATGGTACCACGCCATCCTCGTCGGCGAATGGAATGCTAGCGGTTAGAGCCGAGTTCACGATTATTTCATCGTTCATCTTTCAACGCTGCATCTTCTACGTTTTTCTAGAACAAATAAATAGAAAATACGAAATGCGAATGGATTAACGAAGATGCATGCGAGGTTGGATTACCTCTGATCTTCAGGGTAAGATTTTAGAAAAACCATTGCGAACCGTGGCTTTCTACGATTATGAGAAATTTTATGGACGAGAGAAGATTGAATCCGAAGAAGGAGAACACCTTTTTATTTGACTTGAAATTCAAATTTGAAATTTACAATTCGCGAGATGATATCGTTCAAAAATTTGATGAGACGCTTCCGTAAAACGGTTCTTCGATCCATTTCCGGTATAACCGGCGACCGACGCGTTTTACCAATGAAGAAATATCCGGTAACTGACCGATATCCGGTCGAAATTAATTCGATTTTCGGGCTGGATATTGTAATGGCCGGTTGCCGCTCTCCACCGTGTCTGGAATCGTTAAAGAGCATAACGATCCGCTTAGAATTCAACGTAGCTCGTTCCGTTGCACCGTGAATATTGACCGTCGCAAGTTTATATCACCGACGTAACGCTAAATTAGTTTCGCTTTGACAAACTCGCGAAAACCCAACGTTTTGTCAGTGTTTATTGGAATTAGCAACTTTGGAGTGCTGAAAACTAATTACTAATCATTTAATTGACCAGAACTCAGTCAATCCTTTTCTGATTTAATCTCAGGAAGTATGCCTAAAGCCGTACGTTATTCAGTTATTATTAAGATTACAAAACTTGTGGTTATGATTAAAATTTCGAATATTTCACTGATGAATATCGAGAAAGAGAAATTTGAACAGAGGGAGGGAACAAGATCACGAAGCAAGTAAATTGAATTAAAGCCGACGCGCCCCTTGAGACGTTCTAACGATTCCCACGAGGCGGTCGAGAATCTCCCCGGTTCGAGTTCTACTTTTAGATCTGTTAGAGATATCGGGCCTTAGGCCACCGCGACGGTTGGCTCACAAAATTTCTTTACCCTTTCACTATCCAACGAAATCATGTACATCTCTTTATTATATGAAATATCTATATTTTATATGCATATCAAGTAAATGTATCTGCAGAAGATATGAAAATATACAAATAAATAAAATTAGAAGTGAAACGTTTTTTTATGATTTTTTATCATAAACTCAATTTCCTGAACTGACATTAAAACCATTCTATTTTGTACGAAACTAGTTTAGTAATCGATAGCATACGGTGAATTTAATTAAATTTTCAACATTTCTCTTGACATATCCATTTTACATAGAAAAACATATATTATAAATTTGAAACGCGAGTAGAAATTTGAAATGCAATTATTCGAGCGCCGGAGGGCTGAAAGAAATTTGGTGAGGCAGCCCGGAGGCAGCATAAATCGTTGTTAAAATTCGTGGCCCGGATCCATCTACGAAATTGACCCGCAATTAAGACGTCGACGCAGGCAGTGTTCAGGGTCGCTAAACGACCAACAAAAGCGCCTGCCTCTCGAGACAATGCGGTCTGCAATGCCTCCGACCCGGTAAATAAAAGGAAACGGAAGGTTCTCGTAATTATCATCTCGAAAAAATACATTCCAACGCGAATTCTACTTTTCAGATGCGCTGACCCGGATCTAAATTCCTTTGAAAACCGTTATTCTGAACCGCATTACACATAATTAATCCATTTGCAGCATTAGCGTGTGCATACGCACAATTTTTAATTAATCATAGTGTCATAGCATCATAGTGCGGTATTAATTAATACATGAACAACTGCATTAATCATTGTATGAAATATCGTACACACTTCTACGTTATAATATTTATGACCGACAAGCAGAAGAATTAATGAGTCGTTTGAAGTTGATTATGGAAATCCTTTCACGTTTTTGCCGAACGATATGCAGGCAGGTTTAATTTAGAGCAGAATTGTCAGTGCGCATACCAGTTCGCATGAGAAATCGACAGAAATGCGCGAATTAACGGGATCTAGGATCCAATAGCAACGAGATGCATCAAAGTGATTCGCCATGATTAGTAGTCTCCCGTCTTTTGAGCTTATGAGCTACGTTAATTGGACCGGTTCCTGCAGAAACGGTACCCGTTTTTGCAATATTAATATCTCAGCAGAGATTTTAATAGGAATGTTTTTAAAAAACCAAGATATTATATACATCCCCTTTCAGAGATGTTGAAACGCATTATGAAACATATAAACAAAATGAGATGCAAGGATTTATATGAGTAAACGAAAATCTGTGATATTTTAATAAATAATCTTGCATATAATACGCATCACTTCTTTTGATAAGCAATAAATACTTGTTTGGAGTGTACTCCAATACGGGTTCTTATAATTTCAGGCCCAATTTAAATCGAGCAGGCAGAAACGGGCCGGATCTCGATTGAGGTCTACCGGAATCAAAGAGTTAGCTTTAAATTCGACGCCGTCTGCGGCCGGCTGGCATCCAAAGAAAAACCTACTCCGGGATCCTCTCAGAGTCGTGACGACGCGACGCATATATTTGCATTAATTTCATAGCGACCGGATGTAAAAACCGAGCTGGGCTATTTCGAAGTTCGAAAAAATTTTTAATCAACCGGGATCGCTTAATCCCGCGACTTGTTTCATATGTAAACATTCTTTATTTGGATTAGGCGGTTTTGATTAAAAATTGTCGAGGGTGGGATCGTTGAAAAAGGGTCGCGGCGCCGGCTGAAAAAACTGTGCAAGGGTGGCATAAGGATTATGTGGAGTATAAATAAAACTGCCCGTATCTCCCGTCTTTAGTCCATTGTCCCATCGAAATTCTTTGAAACAGACGCATCGGATCAGTGCCAACGTCGAAGCTTCTGCTTTTCAATTTAATTAACTGAAATGTTGAATAACAATCGGTTTAACTATGTGAAGTAGGTATGAAACGAGGCAGGAATGCGTGAAGTATGATCGTGGGTAACGCGACCCTGGCACGGTTTCCTAATCTGTTAATAATCGTCGTCAATCGCGAAATCGTTCGCGTTAGCGACGCTCGTTAAGAGAAGCCGATGCTTAAACCTTTTTAACCCGTCAATTGATCGTGCCCTGAGACCTTTAATCCCCTCACGCGTTTTTCGTACTCGTTTCCGTTTCACTTTAACGTTAGACAGATGAAGACTTGATGTGTGATCCGAATATAAAAGACTCGTTATGTGTAAAGTCTGATAAAAGCAAGTTAAACTCGTGCAGAGTGAATGAATATGAAATATCACTTGAAATTATTCTTGTTGATCTTATTATACAGCTTTGAGAAATGAATTTCTGTTTGAAAAATATGCTCAAAGAGCTAACTAAGGTGCTGTCTCTAAATTAAATAGTAAAGTGTCTTACGCAATACTAAAAGTATGAACGTGTAAAGAAGAAGTGAGGGGAGCATGATAAACGAATTTCAGGCGTCGAATCAAGAGATGAAGACCTTCCCTGCCTGAAAAAAATCTGATAATACCTAACCATTAATCTTTCTAACGGATCGTTAAGATAATACAGCATCTCGCTTAATCATAGTTGAGAGAATATTTTAGCCAACTGAAAAATTGAATAGAATGCATGTGTTTATCAGCAGCTCCAGTTTGCAGAATGCTTTTGATTGTAGATAATATTCAGAGTATCCCACAGGTCGGACTATAAAGCGGGAGATAACGACGCGCAAAATAAAGGAGGCAACCTAATTCGAAACAAAACCCACCCTGGATTCGCCCTTTCAGACCAGTCTTTTAATGAAACATATATAGCCAGATGCACGGACAGATAGGAGAACAGAAAGACAAGCGCGATTGATAAGATTTTGCAAATGCAATTAAAATACGCCGCGATTTATTCCAAAGTTTTATCGGAAACGGGATTTGCTAGGCATTGAAATTTTTAGATATGAAAGCGTTTTCGGTATCAATCATTTCGCGAATTTCATATAACGAGGAAACTATGACGCGGATATACGTGATGCGATATTAATAGAAAAGTATGAAACATCTGTGTAACATAAATTTCTCTTCGGAATCTGAATTAATTTCTCGCAGTGATACGTACTTACGTGCAGCGATAAAAGTTAATCTGGCTCTAGTTCCTGGCTCAGGAAAGCCATTAACGGTGAATAGGTAAAAGAGTTAAACGTCGAGGCTGTCGCGAAATCCAATCGCGTTTTCAAAGAGAATTTTTCTTAATTGCAGCAACATCGCGGTGTAACTGCGCGGAACGCGATAAATAGAGAGGTGAAACGATCAAAGAGGGCACGCGATACGAACAGAAATAGCGATCGTTTCACGGAGTCGTTTCTATGTGCGTGCGGCTCGCTCGGTACAGTTGCCGAGGGTCATGCACCTCGGCCCTGTCAGGGCCGTGAATAGCCCATCGGCTTAGGAACGCGGTGGGGAGACCTCGTGAAAGGGCATCGAGTGTTTTCAGAAGATACCCACAGCGCTCCTGGGATATACTGTTCACAAGAATGGAGCATTGCCACCCCTCAAGAGATACATCCATTTAGGCCCAAACGTTTTTTCGAGGAAAATTCTCAGAGGAATCTGTTTAGAAACATTTCCGATGCAATTTCAAAATTACTCAGTTGCAGTCTTCGTCTCACTCTTTCAAAATTTATATGACAACCTGATTTTATCTGAACGAACTTGTCCAAATCAGTGAATAAACCTGTGCGTATATTTATTGCTTCAAATATTTGTTGCTTCAACCAGAATTCAGGTAGAAGATTTTTAATAAATCTGATGAAAAATGTAAGACGATTTTATGGAATGCCTTTTACGCTCGCGACTTTTTACTGTAAGATTCTTGCCACGTGGGGCCTGCAGATGTGATCCCCAGACTCTCCACTCATTTTTCTTTGCAAATAAACCACGTAAACGCGTTGCCAACTGGAATTATTGTACCACCACGAAGCAGAACTCTCCTCTTATTATTTAGCAACTCGATTTGGACGCGGAATTTCACGTTTACGAATGAAACGGTGACCATCTGCAGATGTTTCGGGATTGAAAAGCATTTAATCCCCCGTTTCACAACGAAGATAGAATGTAACAGTTTGGCATTTCCATTGTACTGCGTGAAATGCGAGAAAACGTGGAACACGAGTTTCCCAACATTATAAACGATCAGAACTTACTCGACACGTTTCTTATTTTTTTTTCAAGTTCAATTTCAAAGTTTTTTGCTCTAAATAGAAAAGAATTAAGTTTCATTTAAATCAGGGAAAGAAATACGAGAGTTAAGAATGTACGTTATAGGTATCGGGCGAAATAGATGGTTTTCAAGTTCGATTTCTTGGAACAGCCTTCTTTGATCTCTTTTGTACCGGATACACTCGTTACGTTCGGTGTTCTCTCTTTAGAAACCGCGCCGCGGTGGCAAGTGCATTCACACGAAGATAACCAATACTAGCCAGGGTACACGTACTACGCGCCATTGTCCGGCTCATTCAGAGATTGATAATCGACCGGTGAATATGAATCGGCGAATGTTTACCCGGGCTTTATCGTACACGACCGTGGCTCCGTTAGTGCCACTGCTTTATCGAATAATTCCGCGCTGATTTTTCCCGTTTCCAAATTTATCTCACTGAAAAAGAAGGCATCGACGCGTTCACGGTTTATCTTCTCAAAACCGGATTCAGGATTTTTCAATGAAAAGAAACTCGTTTTTCGAATCACAAATGGATTGTAGACTTTTATCATTTAAGTATTGCAATATGCACGAGAATATACTAGATAACAAACGCGTATTGCAATGCTTGAATAAAACGATTGCAATTTTTTCAAGTGACAATCATAAACGTTATTTTGTATAAAAGGTTGTACATCATGAGATGATTAAAATCCTGCGTTATAATTAATTTGGTGCATAGTGGCTCGCGTGAGGAAAGCGAGTTTGACGATAACTCATTACCGCGCCCATGAAACTGTCTTTGTTCACGTTTTGTAGCCGGCTGGTTCGTACGAGAGCGTAGTAAGTGCACCCACGCGTTCGCCTCGTCATTCGATCCTCGTATCGCCGAAGGGGGGATGCGCGCGCGTGGGTTTCTGTGAATGATACCGTGGAATCGTCGAGAACGAGACCTCCTTTCTTTAATTACCCTGACACAGCTGATTATGGCCCGTAATATAAATTTAACGAGCCGACAATTAGGGAATCCAAGAACAATAACATAACGCAGTCACAGGTATCAGAGTTTCTATTCTTAGCAGGATTCATTTGGAATTCTAGGTATGAGAGATTATTCATGCATTTCTATTTCACCTATTTCTAATAATAAAATTGAAGTCGAAGTCGAAAAATATTATTCCTTATTTATGTTATAAACAAACCTAAAGAAGAAGAAAATGTGGATCGTACAGAATGAATATTACTTGAAGAAATGTAATACAGAAACTTATCAAGAAGAAAAACAGAGACACAGAACGGAACAACACAGTAAAATTAAAACGATACCCAAAGGAACCCATGGATCACTGGGCGAATCTACTTTCCACGGTATGTACCGGCATTATCGCGAGGCATGTGTGTAAATGCAGGCGCATAATGTACATACCTAGACACCCGCTGGGACAGGATCTGTATCCCGATGACTACCACTCCCGGGTAATCGACTGTGGCCACGTTATCCTGGCAATTCCTGGCACCGGGCGTAATTTCGTCTCCGCAGCGTAGACATTAAACGTACGCCAGCTCGATTCCATGTGCCATTCCTGATTCGTGATTGCACGGAATGGTAGTCGCTATCAATTCTCCGATATTCACCAAGTATTATGGAATATCGTCAAAGGTGTTCGGTGATGAGTCACACTCGAAAATTTATGCACACGGAGGAAAGAAATGGTGATGCACTATCACCTAGTTCACTTCGAATCAAGCATTGTCCACAGAAACACGTTTGAAGCTTTTATCAAAGCCAGTAGAATGGAACGAGCGTTCCGGCCTTGCTACGCGTAAACACTGCAATTCAGAGATTCATGCACGAACTGCATACCTTTCGTGACCGAGGAATCAATCGTGAGCTTCTATTTTTACAACGAATACTACTATTTTCTTCTTATGCTGTATTATACGATCTGCCAGATACGAAGTTAGTCTTTTTTTACTGGTGAACGATTAATCACACGCACTCGTCGAGTCTTAATTGTGAAACTACGCTATCGTCCCGACACACGGACTGACAGTTCAAATACTGTTATCAGAGTGCGGTGCTATCCGATGGCGTGTCAGAAGGAAGCTTCTGTAAATTGTTCAACATTAATCATCGGTCAGCATGCTTCCGGTTTTCGATAATCGAACCTGTCGCAACTTGGTCCAGAAATGAAGACACACAAATGATTTGATTAGGGACACGAAGAGAATCGTAACGATAGGCGGCTACTAATTATAGACGAAATTAGTAGATGCTGCTCTTAATGGTGAAGATAAATTCGAATATCAGAAGGCATGGAATTAACGAGGGGAAATGTGAAGGGTTTGAAAAGAAGACTCAGTTAAACTTCGGAGATAATGAATTTCGGATTACGTCGCGACACCGTTCGAAGAGATTAAACAAGCTTAAGAAGCGAGCCTCAGGAAATTAACTGGGAAGGATCTTGTAAGCTGGATACGATCCTACTTAAAATAATTGTTCTGGAGTATTTCATTTCTCAAGCGTGGAAATTCACCACAGAAAACACTCTGATATACACCTTCGAAGAAAGAAAACAGACCCCAAATAAACTGGAGAGATTGATTAAAATAGCAGCCGGTACATTTTGTCCAATTATTAATTAGAAATTTTATAAGAACAATCACCTGCATCGCGTCATTATAAGAACTTCGGGACCTTTGCACTTATCCAAATCTCATTTACGAAAATTCATTTCGTGTTTGGGTTTCACTTCACAAATTCTTACGGAATCGAATCGATTTTCAGTTATACACACACAGGATCGATGCTCTCGATCGCGCTGGCGCGGCAAGACTAACGCGTGGATCGGGATCGTGATCGAGAGTCGACAAACAGGAGCGGACTCACCATTGGCCCAATCTCGGGGCCCTCCCTAATTTTAAAGCAACGTCCATTACATTTCTTTCTCAAAATTAACATAGGATTCTCATTACAGATAATCTTATATAAACGAACACAAGATGATTCGATAAAATATTCTACTGGGTCTTCGTATTCTATGGGATCTCATCGAGTTTTCTGTGAATTTCGAAAACGGATTTCAATTTGGCGAAAGGGTGCGAACAGCCAAGGAAGAAACCGGTGATTTTCATTTGTAACCGGGGGAAGACGAATGAGATCGGGGGTGGAAGGCAGGGTTCAATTAAATTAATGAAACGTCACAATTCCATTCCTCAGCGTCGACGGCCACCGAAACAAAATAAAATTCGATCGGTACCGGTGGCGTTTTAACGAAATTAAACTATCTGCTCGAGGGCCAATAAGTCAACAATTCCCCGACCACATCGTCAACCTCGAATATATCGGCGCGAGCAAAAAGAAAAATGTGAAATCGCCGGGAGCGGTTGCACGCCACCAAATTCCACGCTCGGAAATCAAGTTTGACCAGTACCGGGCCATGGGGGCCCCGAAGAAAATAGTGACGAGCCGGTGACGAAACGCCATGTTCTCAGGTAGTCCGAGGGAATGCGGCGAGGCTGGTTCCGATAGGTGCACCAGCTGCGTAACACATGGCCACGTAGGGCATTTACAAGTATACGTCCACTAATACTACTCCAGGAATCCCTTAAGGCGAATCTATACTTCCACTCGGTAGAGTACCAGATAAATAAACCACGATTTTATGCATTTCTGATAGAATTGAATGAGAAACGCAAATACTACACTTAAAATGTATAATAATAAATGTATAACAATCCATGAAATCGTTGTACGCGGTCTGCATCGCTTAAATAATAAAAGAAACTTTTATCTAAAATGCACTTTTCATATGGATACCATAAATGTTCGATTTTGTATAAAAATCGTTTGTCCACGGATATTGAAACGCTCGACCAAACTGTATTTTAATCATTTACGCATGCAATAAATCATAGTCAATTCTAAAATCGTGTGAGATCGGCTTAAGGGTGTACAGCGTCTCATTAAGAAACCCGACTGGTCTGGCCTCGCACACGAGGTTTTTCGCACACTACCACCGAACCCAGCTAACGCACACGTTCCAAACGGAATCACGTTCGAAGGGCATCGTATAAGGACCGATGCCATCCTCGAGCCCCACGTGGTTTCTCCTCTCTATTTAATCTCGGCATTTCCATTCGCGACTGTCGGAATTTCGAACCCCTTCCTGTTTCCCTCGACGGATTCGCTCAATCGTTGTTTTCATTAAATTACATGCAGAAAAAATTATATCATACAATAAATTACTATCACGCTTTGTAAATTTTTATGAAGCATCTAATAAAAAATCTGATAGTTGAAGAACAATCGTTGAAGAACATCTAAAAACCATGTTCGTATCCCGTTTTAGGAGAAATGCAAAAAGTAGTTTGACGAGAGTCACGCAAAAACGGAAGTTAATCCTTAGAAGAAGTTTATACACGGTCTCTCTAATTCCGGCCGCGCCGGTAAACAGATTTTTACGAGGCTGGAAGCTCGTCTCCGCTCGCTAATATTTCCTGGGAGAGTAAAAAAAGAGGAGCAGATGTCGTTCATCCTGGTGGTAGTAAATCGTGCAGCGGCGTGTACACCGCGAGAGCACAGAATTGTTTACGAGGTAGTTTAAGGGTTGTGACGCGCGCGATGGGAGATGCCGCGTTTATGCCGAGGCAAACGACAAACCACGACAAGTTTCCTCGTTCCTGAACAAGTCTACGAACTCGCGTTGAAAATTCGCTAGGCGAATCTTAGGAATTCGTAGACGCGAGATTAGGTAGTCGTGAGTTTGCTTTCGACTTCCCACGGACAGCTTTTTAACTTTCAAGTTTAACCATTAACACGTCACCAAATACAAACTTCGTACGTGTCCGGCTCGTGCAAATATAATCCCGGTTTCACAAGATTGTTGCACATACGTGCAAGGTATATACATACGTATAAAGAATGATACATAGAAAGCGCATTCTGAATACTCGCGGAAAAAGAATATACATATTTGAGAAAGCTTCATGCAAAAAATGTCTATACCATTCCTTTCACACAATTTTTCATCTCCGAAAATGTTTACAGAAAATCAAGGGAGAATGTGTATTACCGTGCAAAAGAATGCACTATTATAATTTTTGAACAGATCAAAGATTGACATGAATTGCCATCGCATAAGTTTTATTTTGTACAAGTGGTCTAATAACTTTTAACTGAACGAGGTGAATGGTTATCCGACTTTAGATACGGTCGGAGGAATTTCTAGTTGAGTAGGAAGGACAGGCCATTGCTAGTTCTCGAAAAGCATTCGGTGTTGCGTGAATCGTAACGTTTCGAGGCGTTAATGCAGAACTCTCGTCGCAACAGCTGCACACACACACAACAATCTAGCACTGCGTGCTCCAAGTGCGGAGCGTTTAACTGGCCCATTGCGCGAAACGCGTCGCGAATCGCAAACGAATACTCGAAACCGGAAGTAAATGGAAACGAGAAGTCGATCGAGCTTTAACCCGAGAATCAATACCAATTCAATTAATACCTAAACGCTCAGTCGAGCATATTAAGAAGACGATGCATAGATTCAATGTCGAATGTTTAACACGAATTTTCTTCTTTGGGTTGGAAAGACGTTGCTTTTAAAAAGGTTCGTTCCCGTTCATTATGAACCATGGAACTGTTTCCAAGAAAGGAGAGCTCGTAGAGAGAGGGGTTAATACTCTAGATAAATTTGTGGTTCCGCTGGTAAATTATAGGGATACGGTTCGAGCAGTGACGCTTATTTTCTGAAACCGGTTTCCGGATGCGGTTCGGTTCACCCTGCGTACATTTTTCTCCCGTTTCACTCTGCTGATCGTCGCGGCACTGGTAACCTCGAGAAGATCGACTAGGAAAATAGCCACGACCTATTAGATCCGCCACGTTTTTCTTTGGGCAAACCGTTACGAGGCCGATCCGACTCTAATATCTTTAAATGGAGCTCGCAATCTCGATCGTACGGAAACTGGTCTTTATCGAGAAGACATGCAACCTCAGATTAGAATTGACAAGTATAAAATGGAATAGAAATAACAGTGATGATTATATATTAAAGTGGCAGACGCAAAAACAGCAGGAATCAACGATTCCGGTTTCGTGTTATTAAAATACTTATCGTTACACTGGATAAAATTTAAAAGATATAGAGAATGCATATACAAATAAAAAATAGTTTGTAAGCTGATGGAACATAGAGCAGCTTGTTAAAAGCATTTTGAACAAGAGTAAATGCATTAACCATACTTATTTCCAGAAGATGGAACAGCTAGTACTTTCGACAGTTGTTCGAAAATTTGATGAATAATGTGCGCGCACAATGCACATGGATAGGGGTTCTTGAATCGGGAATTGCGTATCACCCTGTCAGGGGTGGTAACTTCAAAACTGCTCTAAATTCCGCGCCCTTTGTCCCCGCGTGGGCGGTTTCTCGTACTTTAGCGCAAATGCGGGACAATGAGTTTATCGTACAGAAAAATTGCGGCGATGAAAAATCGCGATACAAGAGAAGGAATTAAAGACAAAGAGCATTGGTTGCACGATTCATGGTGTTCCGCCTTTTGTCCACCATAATCACTATTGTGCCCGTGCACCAGATGTGCCCCATTGCGAGGCGACACGCATTTGTTCAATTTCGAAGAACATGGCAGAGGACAATTTTCAATTCTCAGATATCAGTCTCTCAAAATGACATACAGAATTATTAAAAAGTCTGAATAAATCAGTGAGAATATTCATTTAAATTAATAAAATAATTACGTACTTCATTTGAATTCCGTCAAATACAGAATTTATATGAAATATTTAACAAGAGTAAAAGAATAATCAATCGCTTTCTAGGAGAATTCACTCATACGTTAATTTAATATGCATTAAATGATACGATTGAATTGATGGAAAATTATAGTCTGCTATTGCTACCGTCGTTATTCATTATATTCTCACGATTATTTGAAAGTGACTTACTGTGAAAACACTGCAATGTAGAAGGTAACAACTTCCACGTGTCATCCTGGATTATTTCCGGGAGGAAGGACCGTGAACAGAACTTTATTAGTCACGAATGCGGTACAACTGGGTACAAGCTTGAT